CAAGCTTTGTCTTTCAGCCAACAACACACAAACTGTTCTTATATCAGCCAAAAGCTGGACCGAGAGAGAAAAAAAAAACACTCTCACAGTTATTTTGAGCACCAAATGTAATAGTGTTTTAGCACAATGTAAAGAGAAAATGTGTTTGAATCACTGGATAAAAATCAGGTTATGGGATCAAGCTCCTTCAGGCACCTGATACCGTGTTCCTACCATTAATGTTATCCTTAACTAGAATGGCGATCCTTGGATGTAACCATTTTACATCCCGAGTTGGATCCAATTTTTTTGTTCCTATGGAGGTGTGAATTTTACCAGCCCAGAACACATTTTTGGGTTTTTTTTATCTACAATTTTCCAGTTAAACAGCATTATAGTATTCACCCAACCGAATCCACTAGAATTTAGGAAGTTATTTATTGGCCTTTGGTACCCCTTTTCACCCATTTTAATGAAAATAAGGAAAGTTGTCTTTCTGTAATCCTGCTGACAAATAGAAAAAAAAGTCAGACAAACAAAGCGGAAAACGTAAACCTTTATGTGAGGTGATTATAACCAACATATTACCCTAAAATGTTGTAAAATAATGCCAAATTCAACCATTTACCTGAAATACCGGACCAAATAAAAGCCTCAACTGACTTGGTGGAGTGACTAAAAAAAATGGCTTTCCTACACACAACAATAAATGATAAGTCTTCTTATTAAAACTGCATGTTAACAAACAAATTCTCTCCACACAACCAAACATGAACGCAGCTCCTCCCCACCACTATCCACTTTGAAATCATCAATCACTGGAATAACATTCCTGTCCAGTTCAGGCTGCGACTCCCTCCCACTCTGTGCCTTCCAACACGTACACAGCTCTGGAGATGAAGAGTAATCAACAGACTTCCAGGAAACCAAACAATGTTTGTTTCCTGCCAGGAAAATATGTCATTCAAGTTGCCCCCTAGATCAAGGCACTTTGCCTATGTGAGCCAGAATCTTGGGACCTATTTGATGGCATCATTACTGTGCTTGATGAGAGCTGATAGATTACGCGCTGCTGTTGTCAGGCCAGCTGTGGCTGCCAGAAATGTCATTTTTTATTTCTTGTTATCATTGGTTACTCATTTATGTTTTATCTATTTCATGGGTGTTTTTTGGCAGGAGGTTAAGCTTTGTGTTTTGTTTTTCATCAGATCTGACAGAGCTTCAGTGGAGGGTTGTTTTACCCACTCTTCTGAGCAACGGGATTATGGAGAAATTGTGCAGCAAGCCAAACTCAATTTTAAGTCAAATGAACCCTTTACTTGTCTCATTAAGTCAATGACCAAGCCCTTTTGTTGTGTTTCATCAACATACTCCATTTTCTCTCTTCCTGTTCGGTCAGAGAGTCTCAAGAGTACAAAACCAAGATGTGTTTTGAGAGTTTGTTATACTTAAATATGCTTTTAGACATTGTTTTAAAAATAAGCTATTTTTAAACTATTTAAATTTTAACCTAATCCAGCAGGAAGCTAAACTACTAAATACACCTTCCTTGCAGGCCAAAAGTCAACCCAGTCTCACGGCATTTCATGTTATGGTCACAAAATGTAATCTATTGATTCGTGTTCACCAACACGATTTTCCCCTTTTTTTCGTGTCTCACAGAACAATTTTAAAAGTAATGTATTTCTATTGGTAGTATGTTTCGTGCCTGCAACACGTCTTTTTGTCCGGTCGGGTCTTGGAAGACCGGAAGCTGTGGGGTTCATAAAAACATGTTCTTCAAGCAATCAAGCAACAATTATTGTTTTTAAATCGTATATTGTCTGACTTTTTTTGCCGTCTGTGAGGAAAATAAATGGGGCTCAGAGCCTCGAAATACTGAAATCTGTATTTTTAAAATCTTTTTTTCCTTCTAATTTGTTATTCTTTTCTAAATAACACACTGTTATTTACTCAACAATAACACACAATTATCCTTGTTTTTATTTATTCGTTTAATTCTATCATCTCTGGCTTTTTAGCCGTTCCTTAGGAACTGAATATCAAAATAAAGTCACCGGAAACAGACGTAGGCCTATAAGGGACATTTCGAGCATCATTGCAATACACACCACTAACCCACCGTTCTTATTATACATCCATGCCACACACCCACTTGAAAACTGATTACCCAAGGATCCTCAGCTTGAGCTCTGGTGATTGGATTGTTTAGCCGCAATGCCGTTGGGATATGGTGTTATGCGATAAATGTGATCTATCATGGCAAATGCACTTTGTAGTTTTTATACAGGATATATGCTGTCGCCGGTGCAGTCAGGGAACTCACAAGTGTCAGAAAACACAGACCACTCTCTCTTTCCTCCTCCAAATCTCTAAAAACGGGGCTGCAACTAGTGTGTGTCGGTCGCGAACAGCCGGCTCAGAAGAACCGGTCCTCTTAAGGAACGACGGAGCTGCTCAATAGAAACATGTTGCGAAACACAATAGCCAGCATGTGTAGTTCTTGGGGGGGTGTCGAGTCCAGTGGATAGCTGCCGGGTTTCGCTGTCCATTTTCCAAAGAGCTGCTTGACGCCCCTGCGACCGCCGCTGCATCTCCAACATCCAATCCCAGAGCTTGCAAGATTACACGGGACGCTGATAGCTCCCAAATTGATAGATAGCTGGGCGATTATGGGTAGGTGCTAGTGTCTTCGCCTACACCGGAAGACACGTAAACTCCGGAAGATGTTTTTCGGATTTTCATATCGCATAACACCATAATCCCAACGCTGCATTGCGGTTAAAACATGCGATCCACAGAGCTTAAACCAGTGGGTGTGTGGCATGGATGTATAATAAGAACGGTGGGACTGGTGTGTATTGCAATGATGCTCGAAATGTCCCTTATAGGCCTACGTCTGTTTCCGGTGACTTTATTTTGATATTCAGTTCCTAAGGAACGGCTAAAAAGCCAGAGATGATAGAATTAAACGAATAAATAAAAACAAGGATAATTGTGTGTTATTGTTGAGTAAATAACAGTGTGTTATTTAGAAAAGAATAACAAATTAGAAGGAAAAAAAGATTTTAAAAATACAGATTTCAGTATTTCGAGGCTCTGAGCCCCATTTATTTTCCTCACAGACGGCAAAAAAAGTCAGACAATATACGATTTAAAAACAATAATTGTTGCTTGATTGCTTGAAGAACATGTTTTTATGAACCCCACAGCTTCCGGTCTTCCAAGACCCGACCGGACAAAAAGACGTGTTGCAGGCACGAAACATACTACCAATAGAAATACATTACTTTTAAAATTGTTCTGTGAGACACGAAAAAAAGGGGAAAATCGTGTTGGTGAACACGAATCAATAGATTACATTTTGTGACCATAACATGAAATGCCGTGAGACTGGGTTGACTTTTGGCCTGCAAGGAAGGTGTATTTAGTAGTTTAGCTTCCTGCTGGATTAGGTTAAAATTTAAATAGTTTAAAAATAGCTTATTTTTAAAACAATGTCTAAAAGCATATTTAAGTATAACAAACTCTCAAAACACATCTTGGTTTTGTACTCTTGAGACTCTCTGACCGAACAGGAAGAGAGAAAATGGAGTATGTTGATGAAACACAACAAAAGGGCTTGGTCATTGACTTAATGAGACAAGTAAAGGGTTCATTTGACTTAAAATTGAGTTTGGCTTGCTGCACAATTTCTCCATAATCCCGTTGCTCAGAAGAGTGGGTAAAACAACCCTCCACTGAAGCTCTGTCAGATCTGATGAAAAACAAAACACAAAGCTTAACCTCCTGCCAAAAAACACCCATGAAATAGATAAAACATAAATGAGTAACCAATGATAACAAGAAATAAAAAATGACATTTCTGGCAGCCACAGCTGGCCTGACAACAGCAGCGCGTAANATGGGTAGATGTGGAGAACAATCTACACTGTGTGTGCTGTGTGCTCTGCATGTGTGGCCATTGAAGAGGATTTCATCCTCCCAATATTATATTATCTTGTGTGCAGCCGTTTGGCTGACACTTTTAAGCACCGGACACGGTTACTACTGTAACTACGGTCCTATGCCATGTAAGCACTGGCCACGGTTACTACTGTAACCATGGCCTACGGTCACTGTTTGAAATGGGGGGGAGCCAGGGGGAGCTTGGCTCCCCTAAGGAGGGGGGGAGCTACCCTGAAGGCCGACTTTGAGATGAATAGGGGGAGCCCAAAAAAATGGTGCATATTTGTGTCACACAGATTAGAAATGTTGAGTTCCAGTAAATAAAAGTTCTTGAAATAAATAATAGTCATTGTTCATTACAGTTTCTGAACATTAGTTTTATATTTGTGAATATGTCTGGGTGTTGCCATCTGTACGTGGCGATGCTGCATTCTTTACGCTACTTACGTTGCTATGGTTACGGCTTCGATGTCGGCGCGGTATTTGAAATGTTCATATTGATATTTTTTTAACTCTGCCTTTGTAATAAAAAATATGGTGAAACGAAAACAGCCAAGCCTCCCAGCTTTTGGATTCACAAGCAAAGGTGCGGAGGAGTCTAAAAATGACAACGTGAACGGAACAACCTTTAGTTGGCCGGCTGTAAGCGGGTCGAGTTTGACAGCTCCACACGAGGGCCCTGAAATAAAAATAGGGCTCCCCCGAAAGCAAATTGGTAATTCGAACACTGAACCCAAAAGTAAACAATAAGTTGTTCCTTTGAAAACAGTGAAAAACCAAAGCCAACTTTTAAGCCTGATTACATCAAAAAATTTCACGTCATAATTTAGGACAATTCTTAATAAATGTATACAATGATAATGGAAGAAAGAACCAGAATAATATATATATGAATTAAATATTCCCAAACAACTAGTCTTCAGACCACAAATTAGCATTTCCTTGTCAAAAGTACTTCTGTAGCACATACATGTACTGTTACTCATGTATTTTATATGTACATGTTTGAAATTCTGTAATAGGAGTTTAATTTGAGTGTTTTGCTGTACATGTTGTAATAGTATAAAGGACTGTTAAACAGAGAAATAAGGATGTTTACCTTCCAGGATGACAGTGATGGGGTTGGGTCTGAATCCCTCTCCTCCTGGACAAAGAGTCTTATACTCCGCTACAGAGAGGACAAAACGCACCACAGATTAGTGTGTTATTCATTTCAGAGTGGGGGAAAAACAGGAAATTGAAACCCAAGTTAACCATCAGATCTGAGTAACTAGGCCTTAAACTCAGCAGTGAATCTTATAATGAGGTAATGGATCAGTCTGTGGTACGTACTGGAGTTGGGGGCGGGGCAGAGTTCACAGGGGTTTCCCCAGGCTCCTCCCAGGGAGCAGCAGCAGGAGGCGCGGGTCACCCCCACTCCGATCTCCGCGCTGCAGGAGATTCCCCCGTCACCGCGGGCCAGGATGTCCAGGAAGCAGTTCCCAACACGAGTATCTGAGAGCGTCACATATTCAGAATCAGAAACAGGTTTATTACCAGGTAGGGTGACACGTACTGTAGGAGGGATTTGACTTGGTGTCGTGGTGCTTACATAACAAATAAACATACAATACATGTTTATTTCTTGTGTCTTCATTTCTCTTATGTACATTGCCTTGTGTTTTATATTTTTTTATGCTGCTGCAACGCAAACATTTCCCAAATTGGGATCAATAAAGTACCTGTCTGTCTGTCTGTCTGTCTGTCTGTCTGTCTGTCTGTCTGTCTGTCTGTCTGTCTGTCCGTCTGTCTGTCTGTCTGTCTGTCTGTCTGTCTGTCTGTCTGTCTGTCCGTCTGTCTCACTGTCTGTCTGTCTGTCTGTCCGCCTGTCCGTCCGTCCGTCTGTCCGTCTATCTATCTGTCTGTCTGTCTGTCCGTCTGTCTGTCTGTCCGTCTGTCTGTCTGTCTGTCCATCTGTCTGTCTGCCTGTCCGTCCGTCCGTCTGTCCGTCTATCTATCTGTCTGTCTGTCTGTCCGTCTGTCTGTCTGTCTGTCTGTCTGTCTGTCTGTCTGTCTGTCTGTCTGTCTGTCTGTCTGTCTGTCTGTCTGTCCGTCTGTCTCACTGTCTGTCTCACTGTCTGTCCGTCTGTCTGTCTGTCTGTCTATCTATCTATCTAAAAGTAAAACAAAATTTAAAAACACAGAAAGAGAACCAGAAAAATATTTACAAATAATAAAAAATATAGTAAAATATAACAGTATTTACATAGAAATGGAATGGAATAAAATATGGAATAAAGATCGGCAGTAATACAAAGAAGAAAACAGATATTGTTGTACATTGTGTGCATTAATGTAATTCAAGATCAACACACAGGACTCTAACCTGCCGTCAACTGCTTTACTTCTGCCAAACACATTAGATAGAGTCCATCATAGAGTACTGCTTAACGGAGGAGACCCTCATGGTGTCCCTCATTATGATCAGCTTATTACAGGAGGCTTCTGACTCACCCACGCAGCCCACTCCGGTGGGGTTGAGCTCGAAGTCTGCGGGGCAGTTACACAGGTAGCTGCCCGGCGTGTTCACACACAGGCCGTTGATGCAGTTCACAGGGTCCGCACACTCGTTAATGTCTGCAACACACAGAGACAAATCAGGTTACAGACACCTTCCTGACATGTTGAGCAACTCGAGAAAATGAAGGGACTCAAAATGTAGAACTCTTACATCTTGAATATATTCTGTCTAATAATTGTGTAGCTGTACAACTTAATGATTTATAATCTTGTTTGATGTCACACACTAACTTTTTAGTTTGAAGGTAGACTGATAATGAATATTTTTTTGCTAACTCTGTTTTTCACTTTTTTTTATTGACTTTTGTTGACAACATGAAATTAGTTTTTGCTTAAAACGCTTATGGATAAATATGACATCTACATATTTTTCTGTTATTGTTGTTATGTTTTCTAGTGCATGTTTTGCATTCAATAAAAAAATGCAATGCAACAAAAACAGAGAAATGGAGGGACTAAACAGATGATTGTAGACTATGCATATCATTGACATCTTTCGTCAAATAATTTAATCTGGTAATGCAATACATAAATGAAGATGTTGTGGTCGGGGAACATCAGCTGAGGCCCATTTTCCATTTGCATGTTAAGATGTTAAGCCGACCTGTTGTTAATCGAATCTGCAGGGGAGCCTTGCAGTTGTTGAAATGATTACATGGAAGTGTGCTGTTTACACCTGGCTTCTATTTTCCCATGATTGTACCAAACGACACACTTCTTTCCAGGAAACTGTGTAAATTATTCCGAATTTTATGAAACTGTAGAATAAAGTGTCACAGTAAAAAAAATAATAAAATAAAATAAAGAAAACAACGAGAAAGCGGGCTAAACAGATGATTGTAGACATATGCATAGTCATATCACATTTCGTTCAAAATAATCGAGATCTGGTATGCCATACATAAATGAAGATGTTAGGAGTTTCAGAGCACCACTAACCCGTGCAGTTTCCTCCGCTGCGGTCCCAGCTCGTATCCGTCGTCACACACCAACGCGAACATCCGGGGAGGTTCTGACACGTTCCGGACACACAGATGTTCTGGAAATTACACTCATCGATGTCTGGGCAAATCACCAGATACAATGTTAGTTAGAGCATGAAAAAAGCACAGCAAGAGATAACATGGACAGGGGTGAGTGCAGCACCTTGGCAGTCCTGCTGTCCTTCGGTGGGTGAAGTTCTTCCCACTGTTTTTCTCTCTCGCGATTGTGTCATTACTATTTTGGCTGTCTTTCATCTAGTTTTTCTACTTTTTATTTGTCCGCACACTCCGTTCCATATCTGAAACAGAGGGCGCAGCGTGTTATAAAATACTCTGTGCACTATGTTGTTAGAGCGGTCAGAAAAATCAACGCGTTATTGTTGGGGAAATATGAATGTCCTCTTCCAGTATCAGAGTCCACAGATAACAAGATCCCAACTTAGCTGGAACATGACAGGATGTGTGTTACCTGAGAAAGCATCGAGACTGTTTGAGGCCATAGATACGCTAGATGTGATTACATATTTCAGCCTCTATGGGAGAGGACCATAGTGACAAGCATGATCATTCTGAACGTGGAAGCTAATCTGAATAAACATTGAATACTGGCATTTCTTTCACTCAATCTTGTAACTGTGTAACTCCCTCTCTTGGATACAGCATGGACAGGAACGTTTCTGGAACTAGTTGATGCTCTTTCTGATGTACTACGTTCCATTCTGGCAAGGATAATAAATACATCCGATATTGAAGCTCAAGCCGGTGATCGAGCCATCACATCAATGATCAGATATCGGCGTTATTTAAAGAAAAACTGACAAATACTAACCAAACTCTAGACTCTGTAAACAAAAGATTCGAACATATATCTTGGGTACATTTTCTCATCAGAATTCACCATGCGGTCTCTTTCGTGCGGTTAATATTGTTCGCCTTCTGCTTCATCGTGACGCACCTGTCACCTGTCGTCATTAAAGGGCAAAACCACGCCTATTGACGCAACGACATAATAATACATTGATAGTCGGACATCATCAAAAACAGATAATAAAACATCACTAAACGAAACCATTCATAAATATTTCATTATAAAATGAATTAAGATACGAAATGCTTCAACCACCATAGGCAGCTAGTGTATGAGTTAGGATTCTCCTGAACGTCTTGGATGTTACCGGCAGAGAGAAGCCGCTCCCGTTGAAGCCCTCCTTGCACAGCGCACCTGTGTAGGACCCCGGGGTGTTCACTGTTCACACAGTCTGCGTTGGGTTGCAGTTTTGATCCTCTGCAGGCACTCGTCCTGATCTGAGGGAGAGAGGAGAAGGAAGGCTTAATAGCACCGATCTCCAATATTAATTTTGTTAAGGTTCTAACCTATTTCTCTCTTTTGTCCCCTTTCAATAACCTAAACCAGTTGTGTGTATTTGTAATCAGACTGTACCTCACTGAGTCTAACATTTCAACTCAATAACTGCAACATTGCTCATTGAATCAAATATGCTTATAGACTCTATGTTTAGATTTCTCTTAGCAGGGTAGAGGTTGGGTCTAATTAGTATTTTCCAATCTAGCTGTTTTCTGTGTGTTGTTTTTCTAAGAGATATTTCCTATATCTTTGATACTGTTCCGCGGTATTTGTCGTCTGTTATTGCTGTTTATAGTGATTAGAGCTCATGTGTGTGTGCACGGGATAGCAACACGTGCTCGCGCCAAAACTTAATTTGTTTTACTGTTCAAACTGTTATTGATTTTTAACGCCATCTATACAGAGTGGCAAAAAAATGAGTATATATATAAACTCGGCTCATACCAGCGCTCTTGCTGTTCACGACCATGATGATAGATATGCTGTAGTACGTTAAACCACCCAATGTTGTGTCTTTATTTTTTGTCTGAGCGGGTGGTACTTGGGACGAGAAATGAGCGCTTCTACGCACGCCACGCACTTGAGGCCGCTCTCCCAACCAGCGCGTCTCTCGCACACTTGGAGAAGCTGCCCGGGCACGTTGGATGCAGGCGCTGTGCGACGGTCGCAGGGATCGGGCTCGCGATGCGTCACGACTCATCAACTGATCTGGAGCATACGAGAACAATCGCTTCCACACGACTTCTGGGAGCTGGCTGATTTCCCGTTTGAAAGCAGAAAGGAAACAAGTGTAAATGAAAATACTGAACATTGGCCCTTTGTTTTTTGTGTTTTTTGTGAGATCTAGTTCTTTACTCTTATGCATGCATGAGTAACATNCCACCAGCTTACAGTGGTGGCCTGCGCAGGTCCCAGCGGCCCACTCATCAGAGGCACGAGGCCGCCTAGAAGGCCGGCGGCATGAAAGCCCCTGGGAGGTTGATGAGTGGGCCGCTGGGACCTGCGCAGGCCACCACTGTAAGCTGGTGGCTGAGAGCGGCTGCTAGAGGGGCCCCTGGGCCTGCTGGGAGTGGGCACAGGCCTATGAAGCCCCGAGAGCTGCTGCCTGGTCTGCCTAGCTTGGGCAGCACGCTCCAGTGCCTACAGGGCAGCTGCCCCAAACAGCTTCCCTGGCTCAACTGGCACACTACGGAGGAGATGTCTCCGACAGTGGTGACTGAGCAGGTCAAACCTGGCGACGAGTCTGCACCAATAAGGACATAACTCGTCCCCATTCCCTAGGACTTAGGGCAAAGGCCTACAGTGATGCATCACTGAGGCCCAGCAAAGAAGGCTCAGCTGGAGCCTGCTGCAGAGAGGTAGAGACAGCCAGTATCAGATGGGAGGGACGTAGCTAAAGCTGGGAACTCAAATGCTAATGATAGCTCGGGCACAACGCCACAAGCAGAACTTTCAAAAGAGCATAATAAGGGCAACTTTGTGGGAGAGGAAGCGGGAACACTGTCGTCACCAGAAAGTCTCAGCCAAACAATAAATAAGACAGCAATCAGGACAACTTAGCTGGGAGAGGGTGCAGGGACACAACCATCAAGTTGTCGGACAAGTTGACACAAACCTGTCCGTCGAGGCTCTGCACAGCGCACAGCCGACCACAGCTCCTGGAGGACGCAAAGCTGCAAGCGGCCAGCTGCTTGCAGAGAAATCCCTCAGATCAAACGTTCAAACCTGAACGCTGTAGGCTACAAGAATGTAGCCGCGGTACTCTCGCGCAGCGAGAAGATGAAAAGGAGCCGATCCGCTAATGACGCCGGCCTATGTAGCCGGTGTCACGTGGGTCACAGCTGACTTTGTTGTTATGAGGTACTCGAACTGCGCATGCGTGCGATGGACATATCCAGTGCTAAAGCACCGCCTCTGGCAGTCAGTAGGGACGAAATAGAACTACCTACGGAGCCCCCTAGGGGACATGGAGAAGAAAATGTTTTTATTTGAACAAAGAAATAAATGTTTTGCGAGATCTCGCAAAACCCCGTTGCAGTTTGTAGACGGTCCCTAAGCACTCCTCTCCCTCCTCAAGCTACAGATTGTGACCAATTCTTGAAGTTTAACTCGGATGACGGCGTGTATCGAACTGTTCCGATAAAAACGACTCTGTTGCTCGTTGTCTACCTTGCTATGATTGTAAAGTCATGTTGTTTGTATTTTTACAACGTTATGTTCATTAATTATTATTGATCCGCGAAATTCGAATCTGTCAATAACTCAGCTCAGAGTATGCTTTGAGTGTTCTCTTGAGGTGTCTTTCACTTATGTGAAACCCGTGCCTATTGCCAAGCACTGATGTTATATATTTATATTTAAGGCCAAGCTCAAAGTAAAATCGATGAACCGCTCCATTGTTGTGGTTTCTGTGTTGCCGAACTGACCAGGAAGTGCATTGAGCTAAATGAAACGTTTTGCGGGATCTCGCAAAGGGGTTTTGCGATATCTCGCAAAATATATATATTTTTTCTTCTCCATGTCCCCTAGGGGGCTCCGTACATTCCCCCTGAGAGTTGGATAAGAAAATTATTCACTTTCATGTATTTGAGCAAAACATGGAGCAAAAACCTGTAGCCGATTAGCATAGCTTAGCATAACGAGAGGAAAACGGTTTGATTGGCTCCATCCAAAGTTGTAGCAAATGTACCAATAACCAGCATATTAACATACCTTTATACTAATGATTCAATGCATATTAAAGGAATTATTTTACATCCAAAGACTCAAGATTATACAGCCAGGTAGTCAGGCGCTTGAGTATTAAAATCACAGCATACTGTCTTAAAGTTAAGGAACCTTCAGGTTATTAAATGATATGCTTATGCAAATTAAGCTTACATTTTGCTGTAAACACAATTATGCACTGACAGAATCCGCTTTCATGGTATAAATTATTTAAGTTAATTTATATAGAAAATTGCAAAACCATAGTTCAACAAAATAACCAGATGATAATGACTAATATATTGAATTAAATACGTATTTTCAAGATGCTTCAACTGTACCAAACCATTCTTATATCTAGGATTGCAATAATACAACACAATTTTCAAAAAATGTAACAAATCATGCCCGTTTAGGAAGGATTTGAATTATGTGCACAACAATTTCCTAATAAATTCCTCAATACATCACTTTTTAAGGTAAAATTATTATAAAAAGGTAAATGACTACATGTGTTGGTTTGCTCGAAAACATGTATATAAGTCTATGAAGCAAACACAACATGTCAGTGCAATGTGATGTTGCTGAACAACAACAATTCTGAAAAAGTTAGACACAGAAGTGAACAATAAACCTCACTTGGCTTTCACATATTAACCTCTAGAACCAACTCCCTTATCATCCTTGACTTATAATTGTATCCTTATATTTTCCCTCCTTCTTATTCCCTGCAGTATACACTTATTTAAAAGCCTCTTTTCATGTTTTTTTTCCTTATTCCCTTAAGACAACTCTCCCTTTCTCCCTCTCATTTTTTTATAACCTGCTGTTTCCCGAGTGTAGAGAGTAAATCTGCATACATGTATTTGCATCTCTTTTCATCCCTCCTTTAGCTGCTTCCTCCTCTCTCTCTCTCTCTCTCTCTCTCTCTCTCTCTCTCTCTCTCTCTCTCTCTCTCTCTGTGTATTCTCCTGAGAGTTTCCTGGAGGAGTAAACACATGCAAACTGGTTTATGCGCGTATGTTATGGCGCAGAACTGGAAGTGGACAGTGCCCTTTTGAAGAGGAAAATAAGTAGAAAACGGAGGTAGAAAATATAAACACAACTTGTAACATTCCTAGAATTCAACTAGATAAACCTGAAAAGAGTAAGAGCCTCCGT